CTTCCTCATCCATCGTAAACTGCAGATCGGAGACAGTCGAGATCAGTCAGTCCTGTCTCTTCGGGTATAGAAGGACGCGCATGCGAGACCCCATTGTCTGTCCTCGGAGCAACGGAAGTGCAGGGGACCCAATAATCACCTCACAGTTTGCCCTTCGATGACAGAGCTTGTCTGATGCTCGACTACAATCACGGAGTGGGGTTAAATAGGTGCCCCGTTTAAGCAAAATATCAGTATTTATATGGGTTCTCTGCCGTGCACTCATAATCGAAGAATGGAGTCTAAAAGCGACCGAAAACAGTGCAAATGACCGCAATATATAGAAAATGTATGTTCTTACGTTTACGGTCGAAAGATATTAGCATTGTTTAAGAACGTTAAAGAAACGACCAAAGTGCCAATTTTTTTCTTGGCCTCACCGTTCAAAATGCAAAGTACGCAAAGATTCGTCAACGGAGGGCAGCATTAACGCAGTTCTTATGGAGGTAACTGATTAGGGAAAGTTTTCTCATTGATCGAAGACATATTCGTTGCTAACTTTCGTTGTGGGCAGCCATTTTTCTCGAAAATGAAGTTTGATGTTTGAATGAGTCTTCACATGTGACTCAAACGACCATCTTCGTGAAAAGGAGTGCCCGAACACTCACTAATTCGGTAAATGTCTTCAACAATTATCTTATTTTAAAGTTCTCAACAGACCGTTAATTCCTAATCTCGCTTTATGGACCATCGGGTGAAAACACTGAAAATCATGAAGTATTCAGCAAAATTTCGAGGCCGATCCGAAACTCGACGTAATCTAAAACGAAGGAAAAGTGTAAATTCATTGGACGAAAGAAACGTTCTTTCTATAAACACAAAATGATATGTTTACGATCACGCCTGTCAGCCCTATTTAAATTTATTGGGCGCCGATCGGCCTGGCAGCATGTCACATTTTGAAGACGTTTGTTTTTACGAGGTCCTTATTGGTGAAATCAAACAAAATCCAGTTTCTCTTGTTGAACCCCATCTCATTTAACACAAACGCGTCAATGCTAACACGAATCCCTGGGAAACTGTTTTTCAATCTACACTAAGAATGTAGGCAGTTGACAAACCGCCATGTATAAAATTACACTAATTATTAAACGATATTTAGCTGTATAATTCACTGAAGCACTATTACTAGATGTTATTTCATTTGTACTTTCAAATTTACAATGTAAGCGGCATGAGAATACATTCTATACATCTAAAAACGAAGGTTACTAAATTAGAGCGGCTTCTAACTTTTTCGGGACATTGCGCTTTTCTAAGAAAATCAGAATTTTTAAACAATGCAACACTGCCTCTGATATTTATTTTATGTTTTTAATTCTTTTAAACTTGTACTTAATTAACATGGACATTGGACTCATGAAATGTTGTCGGTTTGCGAGTGATTGGCAATCATTCGTGAATTTCGACACATGTCATGAGTTAGATAACGCACTGTAGGTGTTCCGTGGTGAAACGATCCCACAGCGGGTCACGCCGCAGATGCGCCGGCACAAAACGGGGGAGTTCGATTGGCTTACGGTCCGCGTTAGTCAGGCCGCACAGAGTGCGCGCGAAAACACCGTTACTGCCGTCCATGGGGTCTGGTGGTATGCTTGAACGTAGGCATTAACAGCACGTCAACCACTGTCCCCGCTGGCACCTGACAGTTCGCCCGTCGTGTCCGACGATGTCTGCCGTTTGCTCCACAGCAAGGTGAAGCAGGTGCGATGACTTTCGCGTGGGGGCAGACTTGAGCAGCATTCACCGCACCCAAGCCTCCTACTCCCCACCTGCAGCCGGTGTCAAGACAGAGTCAAGAAGACCGTAGGCGGGGGGGGACGCAGGTGGCTGGCACGGCCGGAACCGCACCCAGTCTTACCACCACACCTCCTGGTCCACAACAAACACTTCAACAGGATTTTTACCAACAACAGCACCATAACGGGTCGGAAAGAAAACGAGGATGACTGGGAAGCCATATCCTCACGAGCTGTATACCCAGCGGGAGCGCAAACGAATCTACCGGCAGGGAACCAGGTGCCAGAGAACTGCCAACGCACACCAGGCTGCCAGAGCCACGGTTTCCACAGCAGACGCTCACAAACCTTAACCCACTGTCACCACAAGCTGGTTGTCGGGCATGGACAGTAGACTGGCGCAGGAATGTGCGATTACTGGATTGGTGTTAAGCAAGCACTTTGTGTTATCTGTAAAGTTCCACCGAGACGCTCTGAATGCCTGCGCTAGCGAATACTTGCAACGACAGAGGGGGTGGCGTTCGGTCGAGCCCTCTTCCTACCCTGGCCAAAGCTGAGCACAAAATACTTTTACTCAGTGTGTTTTTAAACATTATATCTGAGTTTCCCTTACAATGGTTTCAGTATATGCATCTTCGTTGACCGTATCTGGAAGAACAGCTCACTTCTTATAACCATAATATAACGCTGGAGATAGTATACTGAGTATTTATTTGATGATTGCTCCTTAGCGCAATAGATGTAACTAACTGAGCATTACATCCGAACAGACTCAGGTTCACAGTGGACAATAAATTTTTTAAGGGGGGGGGGGGCAGTTTCGTAATTTGCTATATTGCAGTACTGTAAAAGTATTTGCCTTCATACGACGGTATATGCAAAGGTTTCCCCAGAATTTCACTGCTAAAGATTTTAATCCACCCGTTGTACTTTTATGCAGAGACTGCAAAGGCATGCAAAATGTAAGCAAACAAAATTTGAAAATGGTAGGCGGCGCTCACCGATGGTTATTACGGAAGTCACTCGCTCCCATGTGCCTTACGGGCTCTTTCTCGAGCCCAACCAGCAGCCGCAAAGCGGCGCACGATATAGACAGAAAAGCTTACCTTTTCGGTGAGTTTTATGTTCTTTACCGTCACTGTTAGCAAACAAATCATTTAAAATCCCCTCAGATACGAAATAAAGCTCGTTAATACACTGTTGCTTTACTACAAAAGGCTTTTAAATCAATTACTATGACTGAATTTTTGAGCGAAATGCGCTATTTATCAAATTCTCAGACGAATTAGTATTGCTTCCTAATGATTACCATTTCCTAAGGTTAGACTTGTGTTTCTTATGAAGCCTCCCTCAAGAATAGTCAAGGTCGAAGATGGCAATGGGATTTTGACCGATTTGAATACTTCAGCAGACCCAGATGTCATTAGCACCACATTTCTTGATTGAGGTAGTTAGCGAGTTGTCTACACGCAAGCCATGTCCTTGGAGTCGTAGATTTGGATTTCACCGAGTTTTCCACAGTGTGTCTGCTGAATGACAGGAACGCCGTACACACAGGGCTGGAATTATTTTGCCAGTCGTTTTCTCGCATAGTTCCTTGACGAAAATCCAGCATTTGTAAACAAGCAAAAATAACCATAAATTTCGTGCTAATATTTCGGCAAGGGTTAAGCATGTGCGCGGGTTAAGGAAAAACTGTGGACAACTGCCTACAAAACTTTGAAAGTGGGTGCTGTTCGGTAGAGTTCTTCGTCAGCCCTTCTTCGGCGGGCTGACATTTGCTGACCTGTACCGCCCCCGAGAGTCGGTTCTGCTGAAGCGTCTACCTTGTCTAGTTGTTCTGCACACCCTCCCCACGCGTAATTCCTTAGTAAGCGGAAAGCTCACTTATAAAAAAAGTTCGCGCGGAGAGCAGTCAGGTAAAAAATACTCGAAATATTGTAAGATGAGACGCACACGTCCGCTGGTAAAGCAGGTGTGTAAAAGTGTTGGCGAATTTGTTAAACAACATTTAGCATTTCATCGCCCCGCGCATATACTTAATCCTTGCCCATATTTTTACTCACTTCAGCATAGTAAGTAGGGAAGTAAGTAGGGGCCTTCTAAAAACACTAACTTTAGAGGCTACTTTGACTCGGGGGTAGTCTATACGGACAGTTGCACAGAAACTAGTGCTTGCTGGGTAACCTGACGCTTTCACCTGCTCGGCCGCACGTGGGAGAAGGAGATGGCTTGTTGATTGATGAGCAGGACTCCTCTTGCCGCCTGGACGGCTAGCATCTTGCCTAATGGACGTAACAGACACTTCATATGTCGCTAAGGCGCCCCCCCCCCCCCCCCTCCAACCACCCACCCGCTCCCTGCAGCGCAAGGAAGGCAGGCTGAGATTGACATTTAGACTGTCCGCACGCAGCCACTTATTGCCAGGCGACGGGCCGTACTGTGCTCGCTGCTGCGCAAGTTGACATCGTTGGCCACTCTACAGTCAGCGGTCCAGAGTGGCGTGTGGAAGATGGAAAACAAAATGACTGGGCAAGAACATTGGAAATCTCTCAAGCCAACAGTGGTTCTCAAGTGTTCAAGGGCAAGACACGAGCTGAGACGGTGGTGTTGCCGAAATGCTATGGTAAGGGCCGAGAAGATAAAGGTTCCCAAATGAGAGGTCAGGGAAGACGAAGTGGATTGGACAACCTTTACTGCTGAGGAGGTGCGTACACAAACACGCAAATAATTTTGTCCGTGTCCGCCCCAGCGCGTGTGTGCGCCTTTCGCTCTGTCCCAGTTAGTGTCCGCCAGCCAATCAGGCAGGGGGAAGTGTTGATTGGCTACGAGTCCTCGCGAGGCTAGTGACAGGCTGTAACGCCCCTGGACTTGGACAGAGTTGTTTGAATGATGTGACACTTTTGGCGCGAGGACCTAGGGTGGAGATGGCGTAGTCGCGTGTCGGTGAAGATAACCGGTGTCCCTCCCTCTCTCTTCTGCCGATCCCTTTCCCCCTCGTCGCACCGTAACGTAACGTATCGTCCGAACCGCTCGCCTCCTCGCTACATCGGCACTCCCTCGGCCCTTCCCTGCAGTTGCCCCCAGCGCTGTGCTCCCCACCGGTTTACTAGCTGGCATGTTGGCATCGTCTCTCCACCCAGACAGGTCATTCTACAGATGTAACCATCCTACCTGTACTATTAACGATTATTATACGTTTCCCCGTGCAATCTCGTCATATTACAATTTATCTCTTATTCGACATGCCTTCTTCTTCTTCTTCTTCTTCTTCTTCTTCTTCTTCTTCCTCTTCTTCTTCTGTGTATGGATGTGTATCAAGGAATGCTAATAGCTCCGTTCAGGTCTACCCCGGCCAAGAGCTCTTCTCGGCGTTTCCTTACTTCGGTGTATGCTACCCTTGACTTCCTCGGCCGCTACAAGGCCTCGCGCGGTCCCAAGAACAAGTCTACAGGGAGCGTGAGGCGGGCAGACAGGCAGAGAGACAAAGCGGCAAAAAACAAGGGAGCGTGGACTGCCACAGTGTGTTTTGTGGGCTTGGCATCGTGTCACACCAACATGGGACTTTCACATGCACCACAGCGGGTCGGGCTACTTAAAAATTTACATGTATTCCTTAACGGAACGGGGACCATGCGTTTTTATGCTAATGCCGTTCACAGTGCAACACATTTCTGGTTTTGTAGAAAAGTGGGATAAGGAGCTAAGGCTTAGAGGAAGCTGAGGAACAACCCGGGACAGCACAGCAAATGACCGATTCAAAATCCAGCCGGCAAACTCAGAGATTACATGTTCAAAGTAATATTTGCATTATACTGGCAAACGGTTTTTTGGCTTCATATACCTCCTTCAGCGCACTGCTTTACACTTATTTAGAGTACAAGGGCTGATTATTTGATGCCCAATTTGTCAATTTTAGCAGTAACAGTGTATACCAAAGAAAGGCCGGAAAATGAGATGTGGCGATCTCCGGAGCCGGACATTTGTGGTTCAGGCAAGCTTCCACCACCAAAGCAGGCAATGGCAAAAAGCCTCACGGTTTTTTCGTGAAGAAGAAATTGTCGTGGCAACAGCAGCCACCTCCCCCATCTGCAGACGCCGCAAGGTGAGTGGCGGCAGCGGCTGTCGTGGATTCTCAGCTCATCTCTGTGGATTAAGCCAATCGACAGACGCCGTAGAAGTCGGGCAAATGCTTCGGGCGCGTTGTCAATGCATGATGGGATTCAGTGAACTACCGTTTTTAGCGGGGACTGGAATGTACAGCCTAAGGGTTCCTTGCCAGCGCTGTACATAAGGCGCAGTCTCAACCGTTGACCCCGTCCCCCCCCCCTTCTGCAAAAATAAATGACAGGAGGTGCCTTATTCGTAGGATTGTTTCCACGCGAAGAATGCGCTCATGCTAAATTTGCTGTAAAATTATGTAACACTGTCACTCAGTGAACGATCCCTGAGCCTATGTCATGACCAGGTTTGCCCTGTTTACTTCCGCTCTTTGGACGGGGTCGTGTGCCAATGCGGAGACTTTACATGAAGGCCGCTCCACAACCATCTTCATTCCTGTTGAAGTGTATTATTTGTTTTGTGTTGGTGGCTTTCCAGCAAACGGTAGTTTGCAGTTGCCCAGTTGCGCACCGGCGAACAATCTGAAACATTTCAGTTTATTTGATAAGGATGATAGGCAAAGCCTTTGAAAACCCTATTGATTACATGTCAGCGCGTTAGAAACAACTGTACAGGAACAATGAAAATATTCGCTATATAAACGGTACTTGATTCATTTGAGTAGCATTGTCTCAGAGAAAAAATCTGTGGGGAGCCGGGGTATTTAGCTCAGATTCAGACTGTCGAGGGAAAACAGGGGACACAAATAATCATCCAAGCGTTTCTTGAAGAATTGCAGGGATGTCGCCTCCACGACTGACTGAGGGAGATCGTTGCATTTCTCCACTACCCTTTGCGTGAAAAATTCAGAACGAAGGTTCAGCCTGGACATCGTTGTCCGTAGCTTCATCGAGTGGCCACGAAGATTGGGTGAAAGGTGCCACTGAAACATGTCCTCAAAGCCAAGTCTACGTCAAATATGGCCTCATAAAGGCACCAGGCAGCATTTCTAATTCTTTTATTCCCACTGCCCGCCGGGAGGCAGTGGTAAACATAGTTTTTCAAAAAACCAGGAAGGTAGTCGTTATCCTCATTCCGGAAGTTTTCCAGCGCAAATACTAACTCAATGAAGAGTCTTCTACTTTCATAACGTTCATTGCAATCTTTCTCTTTCCTGTTAGAAGTACATCAGAAACATTGCAGCAACTTGGTTTTCAATCCTGGAATCATCATATTAGGGCCTTACTAAGCTTTCTCGGGCGCATTTTCCTAATTTCACGTTTATAGACGGATTCGGCTACATTAGCATTCAAACCCGCACTCGCGAAATTTGCATCGGATTAAAGTCTTTTACTTGTTTTAATTAAGTAGGATTAGCTGATAACTATAATTTGCTCCCAGCCCTCGGCGATCTGTGTGCTGACACCAGATCTGGGTAGATTTCAGCGGAAAAACTCTTTTACAAGTTTGCTAACTTGAACACGAATTTTGCTTGTATTTTGAAACAAAACATGATTTTTCCCATCTTCCAGTGCGAAAGTTCTTTGTCTAGAATCCTGGCGGGAAATGAGTGAAGGTGTTGCTACTAGGCGGTGTGTGTGCGTCTGTACTCAGAGCGCTACTATCGTCAGGCCGAATCCTAGGTGTTGGAAGGAGAGAGACAGAAGGAACCTGAACATGGGGTTTAAAGTATACAAAACGCAGAGTTGTCCTCTCAGGCGGCAGTTGCTACTGGCAAAATCAGGACTGGTGTTGACCGCGTCCAGTCATGCCTCAGAGTCCCTGAGGTAGTGGTGGCAGCCGCTTTTGTAGGCTCGTGGGCCAAGTTTAAGTGGTGTCCAGTCAGCGTGTGTTGCATTTGCAAAGGGGTAGTGTCCCAGTGGCATGTTTTGCTGGTCTGGTTGTAGGGGGTGGCGCGTTCAAGTGTCGCATGGGTAACTGCGACGCTGTGTGGACGCAATTGCGTTCGAGCTGAAGTTCGTCGAATGGCTTCAGGTCAGTTCGTCTGGGACGGCTCGATTCATGTGGTGAATGACCTTGAGGCTGCGAGGTCATGAACAATGACACCAGACCGGTCATGTTGGCTGCCCGCTACACAACTACCGGCGCTGAATGAGGGAGCTGTTAGGTGTGTGATGTCGTGGCAAATACGTCCTGTAAACACTGTGTGTCCCATCTGTCTCCATCGCGCTTGCCTCCCCCTGTCTCTGATGCTGAGTTCGAGTAAGAAGCCAAAACTTGTTTTTCCAGTGCATACTCATCCTCCCTATTTATCTGTCCTGTGTGCACAACCCTTCCGCCTGACAAACTGGATGAGTTACAGCAAGGAAGTGACCTGTGCGGATGAGTGGGGCTACACTGACATGCCTGCTAAACAACCGGTGGGGAATGCAGCTGGTGTCTGAAGTGGAGGTCCAGCCGATCGGTGGACCCGTGCCCCGACAAGAAACCCTTTTAATTCTAACGTCCTATCTCTCAAATCCGCCATCCCACTCTTGTTTCGCTCCCCCCTCTTTGTTACGTCAATAAGCTTACACGCCTCAGTCCCTATTATTGACTGGTTGTTTGCTGAGTTCATGGATGTTATTCAGACGCGAGAAAAGCGAACTACCGAAGAACGGGTTATAGTCACCGAGCGCCCAGACTGCTGTGATCCAGACACCGAAGACCGCTCCGCCCCCAGATGGACCCGAACAACAGGACATGGACGTTATAGACCTGTACGTCCAACGTCAGACGGTACACCCCTATGCTGTCTTACTAGTCGGTCATTTTGTCAAATGTATCTCCCTCGCAACTGTCAACCACCCTCTAATCCTGCCTGAATGAACATGGATATGCAGCCTATTGGCTAAATGCAAACGCCTGATTTACCCGATGCTATTTTCGTTTCCCAATCTTCTGAATCTCGGCTCGAGCTGTCTGGTTCACAACGGTAGACAGAAATGGATAGCCTGATGGTCTAAACCTACGAAAAGTCATGCAGTCAATAATATTAAATTAAGAGTTAGTCTGCTGCGCAAACGTGCTCGTTATGTTTACTGAAGTAATAAATTAATCGATATAAACAAACACCTGTGGCGTGAAGTACTTGCAATTCTCTTGATTTGGTGAGCGCACATCTTCAAATAAGACCTCAAATGGATGCATCCTTCAACTCTTTTGGGGACTGCTATCGCTTGAAAGTGTTTTCCTGAGTCACTCAGCGTTTGCTTTTCCCCCAGCGCAGAAAGCGAACTTTTTCAGACATGCAGTAAATGACTTCCGGTGCATCCCTCCTTTCTAACGTAGGCAATTATGTCCTGCAACTTATGAATGTTTTTTTATAGCAGTTAGTATTTTCAACTACGAGGAGAGAGCACATAAGGCGCATGTGTTGAGACGAAATTCAGATTTCGTCTGTTTGTCTGTTGAGATATTGTGACGCACGCTTTGTTATCCCCCTGGTAACAGCCGAGGTCGGAACTTCTGCAGCTTACTCCTTGCATACAGGACGTGGTACTGGAACAGATTAAAACTGTGATTTTCTTCCAAAAGCGCTACCTCTGCCAACACATGGCTCCGTCATTCTGTGGGTCTGGGTCACGTGAACATTTGGTGAAAATTTGTCATTTGCGAGTATTATATCTAGAGTTGAATATATGCTGTATTCTCTATGCCAGGCATTTCAGATGAAATAGGTAGATAAAAAATCATCCTTGCCTGGACCGATAATTGGCTTTGTTTACGTGAGGCACATGAAGGGCGCTTTTAGGCTGAATGTGTGCACGCCTGATCGATAGTGTTGCTCAGTTGATTTTCCTTATCGACATTCGTGAGACCACAGTATGTGATATATTGCCTTTTTATATGCTTCTTTTTAGTGTAATCTTTAAATTTCTTGAGTAACTGTTTCCTTAAAGTTTCTGAAAATGGAATTAGATCTATGCATACGAATGGCACATCTACTGAGTGAACGAATGTTGTGTATGCGGATGTATCATTTGTCAATGGAATTTATATGTTAATACGGAGAAAATATGGAGCGAAACTATTGAAGATTTCGACGAAACACTATTCGCAAGCGTGCCAAGGGGACACATTACGCCTCCACTGAAGACCTCTCGCTCCCGTCTACGTCGTCCGTGGTGCCAGAGTAATCCCCGAATGTGGCCCAGAGATCTCCGTGGGTAAGTATTTTATGCGTAAGTGATTAGAAGTAGAAGAAAACGCAATGCCAAAGAAGACCCAAATCCGTTTAATTGCAAATGTTTCCTGACGGATTCGAAGGAATTCTGTTTGAAGGCCCAAGTGCCGCAGTCCAGGGCCAAGCTGTTGTTCCAGATGTCGCGACTTTACCTTCCAGCGGTGCCCATGGACGCGCGGATGCTATTAGAGACGCTCCTACGATGTCTTAAGAAGTTCCTTTCCAACGGCAGCTACGTTCATCTGAGCCCTAGACGTGGTTTTCAGGATGAGCCTCAACATTGGCATCAACTTTACTTTCGAAAATGCGTGTTCATTTGCATATGGACAGAATGAGGCTTTTTAAAGGGTCTGGTCAATGCCTCGCGTCAGCCATCCGATCCGTAGACAGTCGTTTGGTCCCGGCGAGCCTGAGTCTTTGGATGTCTTTCTGGGCCAGCGGGTCTCGGAACCAAAGGCGTATGCCATTTTACCGAAAAGGACAATTTTACATGACTATTTTTTAGTTCGAGAGGACTAAAACTGTGTGGTTTTTTTCCTGTTTGACGGAAGACCTCCGTCTCCTTGAGGAGTTTTGTTTATTGCGGAGACTTTATGGTTTGACCATTTTGTGAAAACCTTCCGTTCCGAAATGTCGCTGCACTGAAGTCTGCTCACTCATAACTGTGGTAGTTGTCACCAGCTGTTACCCACGGAGGAAGACTTCGGTTGAAAATGTCGAGTGTGTCGACGTGTCGGCGTTTCCAAGACTGTGGGGTGAGGTTTCGTCCAGCAACCCCACCTGAATTCAAAAATATCACGCATTTGCATCTCCCCTACAAGTTTTATCCAGCGAGTGACTGTTTCAGGGAGGGGAGGAGGGTGAGTGCTTATACGCCAGCCTCGGTTACTTCAGGTATCTGTTCCCACGCGCCCCCCTGCTGCGTGCTTCGAACCCTGCATGCGCCCTCTCCATTATATTAATCCAGCGTGTGGCCAGGTAGACTTGCTGGTGGAATTGTTCCGACGGTGTGGAACTCCGTCAATTCTGTAGCGGACAGCCAACATGACCGATCTGGTTTCATTGTTCACGACCTCGCTGTCTCAAGGTCACTCACCCCTTGCAGCGAGCCGTCCCAGACGAGCTGACCTGAAGCCACTCGACCGACTTCAGCTCGGACATAATTGCGTCCACACAGCGACGCGGCTACCCATGCGCCACTTGAACGCACCCACCCCCTGCAACCAGCACAACAGGCCACTGGGACACCACCCCTAGGCAAATGCAACACACACTGACCGGACACCACTTGAGCTTGGCTCACGAGCCTACAAAAGCGGCTGCCACCACTGTCCTAGGGACTCTCGGGCCTGACTGGACGCTGTTAACACTAGCCCTGGCTTTGCCAGTGGCCACTGCCGCCTGAGAGGACAACTCCGGGTTCTGTGTACAATAAACCCCTCATTCTGGTGCCTTTCGTCGTCTCACTTCCAACACTAGGATTTGGCCTGACGATAGTAGCGCTCTGAGTACAGATATGTCCACTCGCACCCCCTATTTACTACCGTTCCACCACCGAACCCATGCACTGCAACTTACCACGCGCTTCCCTCAGTGGTCTTTCAGTTACGATCATCCTCTCAGTCAAGCGAGCGGCTGTGTCGGGAGGAGAGTGTGTACACGCCACCTTCACCAACCTCCCTGCGCGTGCTTCGATTTCTGCTTGCGCTCTCTTTCCCTATCTCATTGAGTGAGTTGCTAATTTAGGTTTGTTAACTAATATTGTTTTAGGAAGCTATCCATTTGCTATCAATTAGGCGAGGCTGCAGGACCAAACCTCGCCGACTTTGGTTGGTCCATCATCGTCAAGGACTTAAATACACGGAATCGAACCGAAATTCGATCGATTTTCTCTTTCTTCGCTGCCTCTGCCCTTAACTGGATGTTTGGCAGGTTTCAAAGTTGTTTGCATCAGGGGTCATCAGCTCAATGTGGTTGGTTGACCCAGTGCAGTGGTTGTTCGGTCTGGTGGCTCTTTCGACACCGAATTCGATGAGTTCGCTATTGTGTTGACGGCATTTTCTGAAATTGTATGTGATCGGTTTATTGTCGTCTTTGTGTACGGGATTACTCGCGTTTTCGTAGGCTGAAGGAAGCTCAAGATGTTTGTTGATGAAGTCGACGTCTGAATACCACACCCTAATTGTGCGTTCTTTTGCCCTTGGGTTCCTTTGACCTAAGACGGTTTCTGTTTAAGGTCAAAAGTATGGTCAGCTGAGAGTTTGTGTCTAGCCTCCGAGTGGCCAATTTCTACTGATGTAGGTGTGTCAGAAACTGTCGTTTGGTTTCACCAAAGCATCACTCTATATCATCGCAACACATTCTGTGGACAACTCCCGCAAAGTAGGCATGGCCTATCGATCCCAGGCAAAAATGTGTTCCTATTTAATGCTACGCAAACACACACTGCCACTTGTCGCAAATTCGGCAGTTGTTCGTTCAGTTAGATTGACTCTATGCGCCCCTGGCACAAGTAAGTCACGGACTCCTGCCATCGTTCGCATCAAGCCGGTTTTGCAAACATGTTAGCAAACGTAAGATATCAGGATCAGTAATTTGAGAAATATGAAGGGCTCACCGGAGGAGGGGAATTGTATTGCTGACGGTTCAGAGGACTTGGATGGCTCTCCATTATCAAAGCGCTTTATGCAAAAAATCGACTCGAATTTTTAATAAACGGCTGAATAAATTGGCCCTGCGCTGAATACTTTTTTCTTCTTCCTCTATCTTGCCCTTCGTGCCGTTGTTTGTGCATGTTGGCGGCCTCTTGTGTCGTGTGTCGTAACCTCAATGGGAGGTCGGGCACACCTGTGAATTATTCGATGGGCCGTGTTTGATCGGTATTTTTAAGTCCCGTGTGACCGTTTTGGCCTGGTCATGGCGTATGCAGTGGCGCAGGACTTTATAGGTCACAGGAAGGTCTAGATGCCTCTTGATGAAGTTGGCATCTGAGTACCAAGCCCCAAGTGTGAGGCGTTATGTCCTTGAGGTGTCCCGGTCTGAGACGGTTGCTCCTTGAAAGTAAAAACTACGACCAGCTCCTCCGATGTGATTCGCAAGCTGTGAGTTCGAATATAGTCTCCGAGTCGCAACTACTTTGGGGAAACTGGACGGAAACTGCTGACCCGCCTAGGTGAACACAAAGTGGTAACGTTCGGTAGGCGGAAATGAATGTCGCACCTGGCACAGACCCGGTTGACGGATTTGGACAGCGCTGTATGTGAAAGAAGTGACGCAAGGGTTAAGGTTTTAGTAGTGTTTGACCTCTAGAACTGGAATTACCGGGCACCGGTAGACAGTCTATTACCGGAATCAGAAATAAAACAGAAAAGACAAAAAAGGAATGACATTATATTGCGTCCAACCTCTTCGTAACGGGATAGAGCAGGGTGACAGAGGCCATCCTGTAGCTCTGACGGCCCGTTCGATGCATAACGTCAAAGCCTGAACTTCTAAATCGATCTTCACCAATCCTCTTTTGGCTCGGGTAGCAAATGATGTACAGACTTGTCGCGATGCCACGACATCCTAGAACACGATTTGTTAAGGAAAAGAACACAGGCGTGGCCAATTAACATTTTATTTGCAATTGCAGTGACATAAAAAATCTTGATCGACGCGAGATTGAGTCGCGAGTCAGAGGTTATAAAACAATCTTTTGTAGGACTTATGGAAGCGGTCTTGTTCTGAAGTGCGCTTTACCCGAAACGACTAACTTACATCTCAGTCATCACCTGACAACACACCGGCACTCACACGGTCGGAAGCCTACACATGCTCACCCGTCATGTCAGTCGATGAATGGAATCTACCTGTAGCCAGCCAACGACAAGAGGTTTGGAAATTGGCTCCAAAAGCGACTAGTAGGTTGCATATTTGGGACGCAGGATCAACTGAAATCTGGCTTATCCCCTAAAAGTACCTGTGCCCTTTGTGGCTCAGACGTGTTTCAAGGTCACACTCACCCACGAATGGCCTTGGCGGGCGTGTATCTGCTGACGTAAGCGTGAGATGACAAAGGCAGGGCGACCAAACAGCCCAGGCACGGCTGAGCAGCTCCCAGGTCGGTGTGTTTGTGCTGCCACTAGGTGCATGCAGTCCATGTTTGAAAACAACCCAACAATTCCACCACCCGTATTTGGCCTCACGCTACAAAGACCCCTGTCGTACGTTGGTGCGGTGAAATTAGCCATCGGAGTTCCTTCACGCATATCCTCTCTGCCTACCCACCACCAAAATAAATATCCATGTTGAGAGGATGCGCTGCAATCCGGCAGGCAGCCCAGGCTGACTCGATTAATATTTTAGCGGTACGAATTCATGGGCCATAATTATGTCCGGAGGCTGTTAGGGCTGACTTGCTCGTACTACCCAGGCGTGAATCGATTGTCACATCGAAAGAAAGTGTGTCCAAATGTTATGGCAGTCAGGCCGTCGGCAAGCTAACCATGGCTTGTGAATGCAAAAATCGGGTCAAAATAACAGACAGTACAAAGGTAGAGCATGAACTCATTGATCGTATCTACGGAACTCGCTCGTCCCGTTATGCCTTACGGGCTCTCTCCCTCGAGCCCATCCAGCAACCGCACAGCGGCGCATAATATAGGCAGAATATTATTACCGACAAAGACACGGAAGATTGAAATGGCCAATTCTGGTTTGTTAGATGTCGTCAGTTAGTCATAGCCAACCACGAAGTGTGGAACACCTGGTGCTCGATCCCGCGACCTTTTGGCTAGAAGTCCAGCGCCTATAAGTACTGAGCCACGAGCTCGTTGTCCTGTCGGTTGCGATCGGGAATGTACAATGGTAGAGAGGTCGCTCATCGATCGTTTTTACGGAACTCACCCGTCCCCGGGGTTGAGTATGACTGGCTGACGACGGCTAATAAACCAGAAATGGCAATTCCAGTCTTCCTTGTCTTTGTCAGTGATAGCTTTCCGACGTAACTAATGCAATAACGACTCCCCACCTTCCACCGCCAGCCTACCGCAGTGACCCTGCTCACTCTGGCAACATGCAGCGTTTCCTTCTTCTGCTTCTTCTTTTTCTTCTTCTTCTTCTTCTTCTTCCTCCTCTTCTTTTTCTTCTTCTTCTTCTTCTTCTTCTTCTTCTTCTTCTTCTTCTCCTTCTTCTTCTTCTTCTTCTTCTTCTTCTTCTTCTCCCTCTTCTTCTTGTTCTTCCTCTTAGACCATTCAGTGGGCTGTCACGTATGGTATATCGTGTAACCGATGCATATTCCACTGCCTACCTGTTGGTAGTTTGTGAATATTACGCGATTATTCCGCTGTGCTTGGCGGACTTTGGCTCAAACATTCATATCGAATTCCAGCCTGAGCCTGTAAGTGTCAAACAGACCTATTTGCTCCAAATTAGCCATGAATTTTGGAGAAAATTAAAAAACTGCAATGTCAAACCGGGAGGGACATAATTTAGTTTTAAAAAAGTTTCTAAATGTGGGACTTTTAAATACCCTAAAATGGCCGTTCATAAATCATCTTGTCTCCGCATTTACCAACGTGGCTCGTAAATTTGACAATATGGATCAAATCCACTGCTAAATTTTACTAACCCTATATGGTCCCCCTTTATTACCGTAGAGAAATGTGTGGTTTTCCGTACGCGGAAAATATACGGCTTGCAGTTTGGAAACCCCGAATCCAAGTGTAACGGTATAGTGGGTTCAAAATTATTCGGGAATCGGAAAGGGTTTTTGAAAACCGAATTATACCCATCCTTCGAGTATAAGATTGGAATAAGACGTAATTTTCTCCCGACTGAGTCAAAGAATGAATATTTTTGTGCATGTTTTCCATGAAATATAATTAAACTTTTATGGGCATCCAAGATCAATAAGGAAAATGCCTGTTAATTAAGGAGTCATTTTTACAGCGTAGTTTTTGCATGCAGCCGGAAGTAAGTTCATTCGAAAGCCGGCATCCTGAGGTAACCGAATTATTATAAAATTATGTTACAGGCTGATTAGTTTTACAACGCTACTTAACTAATTTTTACGAAGCAAAAACGCATTTCGGAATTTTCGTTGACATTTCATGAGTTAGCCCACCTATTGTATATCATGCAACCTATGACGGCAGCTTTGTTTGGCCGCGATATGCCTAGCTGCTAAGTAGACGTCACGCCTCACCTTAAGGCCGCATCAGCGAGCCAGAGAAGCTAGTGGACGCACTCCTCCCGGGCGACCTTCCTTAGGCGGAACGGCGAGCTGTCGCAGTCGACTTTTTCACCAGGAACGACACACTGGGGCGTCTGCTTCGTCTCCGCAGGAATTAGACGATATTCTAGTGGTCAGGAAGCTGCCATGGCGATGCGGCAAATTTGGCGAGAATGTCAGTCAGAAGCTACCCCCAGCTGGGTGACCGGTCCGAACGACGTGGACTAAGAGTTTTATGGGTAAATAAACACCTGCGAGGGAGTGGTAGACTGAAATTGAGTCAAAAAACCGAAACTTCGATGGCATCATGCTGTTGCAGGCATGCGCAAACTATAATCTCCACATTATTATTATTATCATCATCGTCATCAGCATCATCAATGGGTGGGAGTGGGGAGGCCTAGAGTCTAACAACGATGACGACTTTTCTCCAGCGGAAGGGCCGCCTGTCGGTGTTGAGACAGTCGTTGATGGCCAGCGGCAACCTGAACGGCCGTATCATGACGTCGTACTTTATGGCGAAGACGAATCCGGCGTCTCATCGCTCTGCCCTTTAAACGTACGCTCCAGAAGAAGATGTACTCCACATTCGCCTCCTTTTAATGATCCCTCTTAGAATGAACGGGTTCTTCCGAGTACCGCAATGTCAACTTTGTAGCTGGACAATTCGCCGATGACCAGAGTTGCAATCCATTCCGGGAGGTTTGCCAGTGAATGGTGTGCGGCAACCCACCTCCGGGGGGCACCTGCTGTTACACTGCGCCTCCGATGCGTACCTACACGCCCTCACCAGCAACAGTAGTTTTTCTCATTTTCTGAGGCCGTGCATGCTGCTCCAAATCGTGGCTGGCCTATCACAGGAATTGAAAACATGAAGGAAATATTAATCAACGCGGAGACGTGTGAACACTTCGGCTTGCCTTCGATTTCTACATGAAAGTAGGCCGTTTCTCAGTTCGACTGCAGAGGTTTGGTGTATGGAGATGCGGAGGGGATGGCCGTCAAACGCCAACATCTCGGCACCAAGCTCGCCCCAAACATTCTTGGCTGGATTCGCGAATTTATCGGCTGAGTAGACCTTGCTCTGCCGACCCAATTTCAAAATTTCAGATCCCTGATGCTGAGTTTGTAAGTCCGCGCATCGATGTGATCTAAATTGAGGTGATTGGTCGGAGGGGGTCGAGCGAATTTTTAAATTTGCGGGGGTGGTGGATTCGCACCGACTGTGTCCGACCCACCTCCATGCCTGAGGCGTCCGTTAATTATCTTAACCTAATTTTGCTGCGAGGAACTTGTTCGCTACCATTAACCAGATTTTCTCTGGATGGTCTTAACTAGACTCCCTATCCTGGGTTTTGCTTCCTCTCTCCCGCCGACTGGTGGCGGCTTCCTGTAAGTGGAAGCTATTGTACTCTCCATTTTCTTCCTCCTCCCCCTCATCCCTCTCCTCCTCCTCCTCCTCCTCCTCCTCCTCCTCCTCCTCCTCCTCCTCTGTTTCTTCAGCTTGGTCATTTAGAAGGAGAGTGGGTTTTCTAGTTGTGTTAACATAAAACTGTCTGTTTGGCCTTCCTGTGCGCAATGGAGGGGCTCATCACCGGCCCACCAGCACAAGTGTTTAGTCGCCACAGCGAAAACACCACAGCCAGGGCCAAGGAGGAAGAGGAGTTGCGGAGGGCCCGAAGGAGTAATGACAATTCAGATGTGGACGAAAGTTCGGAAGTTTACTTGACACACGGCCTTCCCTCAGGGAAGAGGGAGCTTGACGCGACAGCGCAGGACCGACGGTAGTCGGCAACCAGCCGCTCAAGCCCGAGTGAGTTCTCACAGGCAAGGCAATTGTTTGTGAAGTGGCGCAATGTCCCGCTGAATGGCACCTGGTTTGCGTGGAGTGAACTATCAGCACACTTAGACAATGATGAAAGACATGGCAGTCAGAGCGCCCAAGCCCGCTTTCGGCGTTCTAATCTCGTTTTGCCACCGCCAAATGGGCTTAGTTTGTCACCGCGCAAGTCATCATCACCATGGTCATGGGTGGCAATTCGGCCATCGCAAGCAACAAAGTCCATGCGTGCCCCGTGAAGTGGGTGCAACACTGGTGACTCTCGTGTGAATTGGTTTACACCGAGACAGACTTGCACAGCACCCACCTCACCCTCTCCTGCCCAACCCACGTGGTCCCGATGGGAATGAAAAATAAAGCAAAACCGACGTGGATGCGGATGCAGCCTGACTCTCTACAAACTGGGCAGATCGTGAGAGAAACGGGACACTGTAAATAATCCTACACGGACTTGTTTTGCTGCAGCCCACCCGACGGCCTCTTCAGCTACAACGTCGTCCAGCAGTCGTGGCTCCAAAGTTTACCTACCGACATCGACAATTTAGCACGCTCGTGGACTGTGGTTTCCTACTCCGAGCGCCTGTCTCAATGCTCGGCCTCTGGCGAGTGTGTGTGCATGTGCGCACCAGGGCTGTCTGACATTCGCCGATTCGGCTCTCTTACCGGCCAATCAAATTCCAGGCCAAGTCAGAAGTGGCCTGTCTGAAGGACACCGGTGACTTCGCTCACCCGGCGCCCGATGTGCTCTCGTCCGGCTGCCAACTCTCTTCAACCTCGTTCTCCAGTTGTTCTGTACAGAATACACAATCCTTCCAACTGGCGTCCGCCTTCTCTTTCCATTAGGGACCGGGTCTGAAGGTCATAGTAGCCAGGTGTTGAGTCGCGTCATGCAAATGGCGACTCCTCCTCATTGGCCCTTAACTGGCATCCAACTCCAAGCTGTCATCCTCCTCGATACCCCCATGCCAGCGACTACACCCCGGTACACACGTCGATCGGTGGGCTAAACCAGATGGGTGAGGGGTCGCAGAAGGTAGAGCCATAGTGAGACCCTAGCCACGACGACCCAGTCCCCGGTAGAAAGATGGGGGGCTAAGGTCGTTTGACTACATCCATCTTGACCCATTACAAGGTATCGGCAACCGCGTCTTCCTATCCATGGACAGAACGAATGACGCGACAAAAACAACGGGATTAATTCGAGAGGGAATTTCGTGATGATTGGGTTCCGCCAATTCTGGTGGTTGCGAATCGATCAGGTTCGGGCTCATCAATGTCCCAGCAGCATGAGCTATTAGACCCAGTCCCGAATGGCGAAAGTAGATGGACTTCAGTTGCGAGAATGCTACATTCTTGTAGCGCCTAAGCGGTGAGAATGGGCAGTGTCCGTCAATCATCGGAAAATACAGAAGACACCAGTTTAAGGGGTTTATTGTGTACAGAACCCTGAGCTGTCCTCTCAGGCGGCAGTAGCCGCTGGTAAAGCCAGTCACAGTTAGTGTGACAGTAGTGCCAGCTGTTTTTGTAGGGTTGTGGGGAACAGGTTCGAGTTGTGTCCAAATGGTGTGTGTTGATTGATCGAAGGGTGGTGTTCAAGGGGCTTGCGCCTCCCAAACGGGCCACCTTGTAGATGCGCTGGACCAACACGGGGGTCATATCGGATTCCGGCAGGCGTTATCGGATTTGCGCAGCATAACAAGTGCCCACATTTTGGGGTGCGGTGGCAGACTCGGTTGCCGGCAGACGTCGCTCACACTGGGACCCCTGTCGCGCCCCCGTTGTTGTTGTTAATCAAAAACCTGGTCACTTGCTGTGTGGACCAGGGGGTGTGGAGTGGAGCGTCAAGGTGCGGGTTCGATCGTGCCATTCAGCTGTGCCTTTCCCCGCCTCTGGTCTTCTTAACTCCGTTTTGACACCGGGTCCGGATGGGGAGCGGGGAAGAGAGAGTGCGACAGATGCTGCGCAAGTCTACCCTCACTATAAACTACTGCACGCTCAAGTCAACGTGCCTGTTGCACCTTGGTGTGCTGTAAACAGTGGACATCGTCGAAATAGACGGTCAAACTGTCGTTGCGTCCTCAGGGGGTAATGTGTTCAATTGGCGCATAGGCGGCTGGGGCTCTGTGGACGCCTGTGCACCCGAGTTGAAGTCGGCCGATTGGCTGCAGGTCAGCGCGTCCGGAACCGCTCGTTGCGAGGTCGAATGACCTTGACGCAAGTTGGCCTTGTACAATGAAGCCAGACAAGGCCATGATGGCTGTCCCCAACGTTCTGTACAGAATAACTGGATAAGGTGCTGGAGAGAGCTGGCTAACGAACGAAGGTACGCCCGGTGTCGAGAGAGCAGGGTATGCGTCACAGCCCCTTGAGCGAAAACACGTTTAATTCGGCCTTGAAGGTGATTGGCTAGTCAGACAGCCTTGAGCGAGCGAGAACCAAGCTGTCGCTGGTGCGCACGTGCAGGCACTCGCGAGAGGCGCAAGGTTGCAACAGGCGCCCGCAGTGGGGTCTCTACAAAGTTATGCGGTTCCACGTGTGTTCCGACGTTCGGTGATTCTGCTTCCATTTCCTTTCCTCCCCTCTTCCCTGCCATTTCCTCCTTCGCCCCTTCACTTTAAAATTGCCATGTAGGGGACGACATACAATCCCGTAGACGGCCCAGGACAGCTTGTGTCGCTGTCCCACTAAACAAAGTCATGACCAATAGCGGAGTTCGGCAGCCGTCTAGGATGTCGCAGCGGCCCTATTAAGGACATCAGTGCTTACCCCCCGCGCAGGGTAAGGGTCTAGAAAGGGTGCTCTCAACAACTCCTGGGATTATTTCGTCTACACGCAGACCGTGACTCGTAGATGAACAGTCCACAATCGAAACAGTCAAACAAAGAACAACCCTCATCCCCACCCCACACTAGGGGCTGCTAGAGTAAGTCCGCCCCCTCTGACGGCCTGGAATGTTCGTTCTCGTCTAGACAATCAGCTGAGCAACCGACTGTAATGGAAGGTGACGCCAGATGCTAGAGGACTGGCGCGTCGCAAGGTGGAACTTCTTCTGATGAGGCCGTCAAAGGCAGAGCGACGTGACGCCGGTGTCGTCTTTGTCATCTGAAACGACATGGTGGGACGAATGGCCTGTCTGCAATAGGGCGTCACTGACCGCCTCATGAGCCTGAGCTCGCCACCTCAGGGACCCAAATTCGGCGCCATTATCATTGTCTACCTCTCTCCCCCAAATTCGACAAGGTGAGGGATGAGTTTCACGTGAACATGCATGTCCCACTGGAGACTATGCCGAAGGCGGGAAAACTCAAAGATGAGGCTTCGAGTGCAGCGCCGCAGGAGGCCACAAGGTAAGCGACCATAAGATAACCTGACTACTCCTCTACCGAATGTACTGCTCGCTACTTCGAGGTCAGCAATCACTTGACCGGGGGGACCGGAAGACCTTGGAGCTCTGGACGGCAACGCCATCAAGGATACACGATGGCCTCAACTGCGGGACCCCATCCACCACGCCGCCCTGGAAGTCCTTAACCACGTACATCGGCAGCATCTGAACTGGCTTGACTTCAATGATGCAGACATCAGAGAACAGACTGTACTGCAGAGGAGCCTGTAAACCACACCAACTTGCTTTTCTGGCTTGGGGATACGGGTCTTGTTTAGAGGCATGACGTCTACGTTGCAGCTAGACAGGTTTCTGGTGAACAGAGCTGTCCTAATTGTTGATCGGTTGTCAGGCGGGTCGTCTAAAAAGAATCAAACGCTGCATGTTGCAGAGTGAGCAGGGTCAATGTGGCAGGCCGTGAGTGGAAGGCAGGGTGATAAAGCGAGGCTTTATTGTCTTTGTGCGTCACCGAAACGGGCCACGTGGAAGATGCGCCGGACCAATACGGGGGTCGCATCGAATTCCGGCAGGCGTTGTCGGATTGGCGCACCATAATAAATGCCAACATTTCGGGCTGTGGTGGCAGACTCGGTTACCGACAGTCGACGCGCACACTGGGACGCTTGCCGTCCCCTATTGTTGTGGATCAAAAATCTGGTAACTTGTTGCGTGGACCAGGAAGCGTGGAGTAGAGTGTCAAGGTGCGGGTTCGACCGTGCCATTCAGCTGTGCTCTTCCCCACCTCTGGTCTTCTTGACTCTGCCTTGAAACCGGGTCCATGTGGGGAGCGGGAAAGAGAAAGTGCGGTAGGTGCTGCGCAAGTCTACTATCACTATAAACTACTGCATGCGCAAGTCACCGTATCTGCTTTACCTTTCAGTGGAACACACGGTGGACATCGTCGGCCACCACGGTCGAGCAGTCCTACTGACTCTGTTTTGTCTGTTGTTTCGACCCGCCTTTTGCATCCACAAGCCATGGTGGGCTTTCCGATAGTTTAGCTGTTATGACTTTTGAACACGCTTCTTTCACCCCGGATGTGGCAATCGATGCACGCCTGGGTAGGACGAACATATCAGCCCTGGTGGCCTTCGGATATAACAAGGGAGATTGGGATTGTCACTTCTGGCTGATTGGCCCTAGTCAGCCAGCCATACTCAACCCCGGGGACGAGCGAGTTCAGTAAAAACGATCGGTGAGCGCACCCTACTATTGTATATTCCACATCTAAAACCGACAGGACAGCAGGCTCGTGGCTCAGTGCTGAAAGGCGTTGGACTTCTAACTGACAGGTCGCAAGTTTGAGCCCCAGGTGTTCCGCACTTCCTGGTTGGGTATGACTGACTGACGACAGCTAACAAACCAGAAATGGCCATTTCAATCTCCCTTGTCCTTGTCGGTAATAACATTCTGTTTATATCATGCGCCGCTGTGTGGCTGATGGTTGGGCTCGAGGGAGAGAGCCCGTAAGGCACAACGGGACGAGCGTGCTCCGTAGAAACGATCAATGAGTGCCCCCTCTATCTTTGTTCTGTCTGTTATTTCGACCCGATTTTTGCATCCCCATGCCATGGCTGGCTTTCCGATGGTTTAGCTGTTATGACTTTTGAACACGCTTCCTTCACCCTGGATGTGGCAATCGGTCCACTCCTGGGTAGGACGACCAAGTCAACCCTGACGACCTCGCCATGAATTCGGCACCGCTAAAATGGAAATGGGATCAGTCTGGACTGCCTGCCGGATTGCAACGCATCCTCTCAACATGGATATTTATTTTGGCGGTGGGTAGGCAGAGAGGATATGCGTGAAGGAACTCCGATGGTTAATTTCACCGCACCAACGTACGACAGGGGTCTGTGTAGCGTGAGGTCAAATACGGGTGGTTGAATTGTTGGGTTGTTTTCAAACATGGACTGCGCGAATCTAGTGGCAGCACACACACACCCACCTGGGAGCTGCTCAGCCATGTCTGGGCTGTTTGGTCGCACTGCCTTTGTCTTCTCACGCTTACGTCAGCAGATACACGCCCGCCAAGGCCATTCGCGGGTGAGTGTGACCTTGAAACACGTCTCAGCCACAAAGGGCAGAGGTACTTTTAGGGGATAAGCCAGATGTCAGTTGATCCTGCGTCCCACATATGCAACCTACTAGTCGCTTTTGGAGCCAATTTCCAGGCCAGTTGTTGTTGGCTGGCTACGGGTAGATTCCATTCGCCGACTGACATGACGGGTGAGCATGTGTAGGCTTCCGATCGTGTGAGTGCCGGTGTCTTGTCAGCTGATGACTGAGATCTAAGCTAGTCGCTTCGGTTAGAACGCACTTCAGAAGAAGACCGCTTGCCAAACGGTCCGCAGGTCCTGCAAAAATCTGCTTTACAGCCTCTGACTCACGATTGAATCTCGCGTCGATTGCAATTTTTAATATCACTACAATTTTGAAAATAAAAAGTTAATTGGCCACGCCTGTGTTCTTTTCTTTAACAATACGTGTTCAGGGATGTCGGATCGTCAAGGCATGTATGTACACAATTTTTTACCCGAGCCAAAAGTGGATTGCTGAAGATCGCTTTAGAAGTTCTTTTAATAGGGATTTGAGGCTCTGAAGTTATGCATCGAACGGGCCTCAGAGCTACAGGATGACCTCTGCCGCCCTGATCTATCCCGTCACGTAGAGGTCGGAGGCAGTATAATGTCGTTCCTTTTTTGTCTTTTTTGTTTTTTTTTGATTTCGGTAAAAGACTGTCTGCCGGTGCCAAAAAACTCCAATTCTAGCGGTTAAACACCACTAAAACCCTAACACTTCCGCCACTTCTTTCACATACAGGGCTGTCGAAATCCGTCAACCGGGTCTGTGCCAGGTGCGACATTGATTGCCGCCTACCGAAAGTTACCACTTTGTGCTCACGTAGGCGGGTGAGCAATTTCCGTCCGGTTTCCCCAACGTAGTTGCGGCTCGAAAACTACACCCGAACTCACAGCTTGCGAATCACATCGGAGAAATTGGCCACAGTTATCGCTTTCAAGGAGCGACCGTCTTAGACAGGGATTTCAAGCGTCGAAGTGATGCACCGAGGGCTGTCGCCCATTATCTCGAGGCAGAGGCAATGTAATTCCTCTTTCTTTTCGTTTTTTCCCGTTTGGGTTCCCGGGTGGCGGTAATAGACCGTCCACTGATGCCTTATGTTTTCAATTTTTAATGAAAATCATCACGCCACGGCCATGCCTTTCACAGGAATTGAGATCCAGTTCGAAACGGCAGTTAACCCGCGGGGAATTTGTTCTCGAGTGTAGATTTGGACTTTAGACAGGCAGCAACCATGCATATTTTCTGATAAGAGACTGCGTCCCGAAATAATTTGTGCACTCTTTTGTGGTCTAATTCGTGTACTATTAGTCAGACCTCGTCGATTCCCGGAGATGGCACATACTTGATTAATTCGATGACGTACAGTCCTGTTACAAAAAACTGCGTGGGTTTTTAACCTGGATTTATCTTCCACAGGGGTTCAGATCACAAAGTCCACCACAAGGCAACAATGGCAAAGAGACTCATTTAATGTCAAAGGGTCGTCATGGATAAGGGCAGGGCGGAGTCTCGCTAGGTGAGCGGAGTTGAACCTGCCGTCTAGTGGCCTAAGTAGGCACGGGTTTTGTAATTGGCCAGTAACCTCTT